TTTCGTAAATTTACTGTTCACAATGGTGAAAATAGTGATCGGGAGGCTTTGATAATCCATTTCAATTTGGCTTTAGCTGTTCTCACTTAGAGCTGTAAGTTTTTGCAATAAATGGACGATGTTGATACTTGAGCTTTATTTGAATGGTTCTGTCAGAGCAGTTTAAATCAAGGGGTAGGTTTTGCATTTTCGCTTATTAGTTAAACATCATATGACGATTCAAATATCAATAGTCTATTATACAGTTGTACGCTTGGTTGCCAAGCCTTTAAACTGGAGTGAGGCTAACGGTGACTTTGTTATAATACAAACCTTGCTGTTTTTTTAAATGTTAATTACCTTATTATCATACTAACCAGATACTAGTGTCTATGACAACCAGGTCACCTTCAGCCTCGCTCCAAATCAACTGTTTGGGAACTGAATACACAATTGTAAAATTGCCTCTTGGCTTACCTATGTCGCACATTTGTTTTCCCTGTGGCCCTGATAAACAACTACAGTTGTGATCGACTGCTATGAAACGGTGAATAAATAAAAAAACACTCAAAATCATTTCTAATATTCAAATAACTTTCATATGTTGTATGATAAATCTAAAGTCTTGCATTGCATGAGCGATTGTATTGTATAAAGGCCAGTTTTCAATTGAGAATCGAAACTGATCCTGGATTGCTTTGGTGTTGCTTTACTTCGCTCTGTGATTGGCCTAGAAAACTTTCATCACTATTCCAACCAATCAACTGCAGAAAATAATATAAAACCAGTTCCAATTTTTTAGGAGCGCTTCAAACGGGTTGCCTGTTTTTTCTTTAAGTTCTNGTGACACCTGTAGCCATTTGTTTGGTACAGTGGTACACAGGTTCCGTTGTTCTTACATGGCCCACTTAAGCAGGGAGACTGAAAACGAGAAAAAAAAAGGCAAAAAACGTTCATTACAATAAGGGCCGCTTAAAAGATAAAACCGCGACAATTGCGTCCAACACAAGCTGTGGCTCATAATCAGACACGCACTAGGCTCTTAATATGAATGGAGCTAAATTACGGAGGGATGACAGTGATTTCTCGTTTAAGACTAAGTCTCTCTCTCAAAAAGAGGCTTCGTATCTCAGTTGGTGGTAGCGCCCAACTAGTTTAGAAGAGGCAATCTCGAAGCCTCAGCCCTCCTACCTGTAATTTGTTTAGGTCTAGCTCAACTGAAAGATCATTAAATTAATTGTATCTGTTAAATTCTCCTAAGTTGTGGTGTGTCAAGTGGCTTCGCATTTCTACAATTCTAAAGGTAAACTGCGAGCTAACTGCTACAGTTGCATCTTTGATACATACCTCAGTCAAAGGAAAGGAGACGTAAGGCCAGTTCTCTTTTGACAAGAAAAGGCAAAACTAACAACAGCGATCAATGGACGAAAAAGAAAACACTTTGCAAAGGTATATTTTATTATTTCGCTTTATAATGATCTGTCTACGACGTGCGGACGGTTACCCAAATATTTTCGATGCTCAAACATATCACACCAAGATTTCTAGAGCTGAGGGACATAAAACTCTACAGAACGTTCATGATGCAAGACTAACACCCGCCATGAGACGATTTTTCAACAAATTTAACTTCGATTTGCATTTTTAATTTGTATTTTTAGGAGAAATTAGAATAAGAAAACCAACAACAAGTACTTCATTAACAACAACATCATTCAATCAGCAGCCCTAGCAGTAAAACATGTCGGTTAAAACCCCACGCCCATTCATAACTTATGTAAAGATAAATTTTGGTTTAATCAAGTGTGTTGATTATGTAACACCATGCCCTTTCCTCAGTTTCTCAGACATAAGGAAAATACCGACCGCATTCTCTTCACTCTCACAACCACGCAGTTAAATCCATCATTCTTGAAAACTTTAAATCATTCAAAAATGATTCAGATACTGGTACTATCTTTTCATAACCTCCACTTATACCATTGAAATGCGACAAAAACTGAGGCAAGTTTTTGGTCAGACGCTCTCTACAAACTCATGACCAACCCGGAACTTTCAAATGCGCTCGCACACGATGCAAAACTTGTCCTTCCCTTCGTAACGCTGAGAAAATATCGGGACCCAAACGATCCCTTAAAATTACTGATCTCTTCACGTGCACCCTCACCAATGTCATCTATTACGTAACGACGCAGCACCACAGTTTCTTTAGAAACTTACCTCCGCTATGGCTATTAGACTAACCGTGTTTCTTTCTAAAATGCCACATTTTTACGGCTTTAGGTGTCACATTTAAGAACGCAGTAATTTGAAATATCGCGAGAATTTCCAGTTTCTTCAAACAACTTTAAGTCGCTGAATAGAAGATGAACTACAACTTACCACCGGACTAAAATGGTGAAAGGAAACATTCGCCTTAAGTTCTGATCTTGCTCTGTATATGTCTGTGGCCAGCAATTCACAAATGTACCAACCATCATCCGGATATGCTGCCAGGTTGTACGAGAAACATTCGCCTTTATCTATGCATTGGAATGGGCAAAGATCTTGGTCCTCAACTAGAAAAGATGGGATTAATGTTGTCGAAAGACGCTTTTGAAGGGTAGCCTTAAAGTTTCCATACATAAATTCTTGGTTTGCAGATCGGAAAAGAGCGCCAGGTTGTGACGACCGACCGTCTAAGACGGAAACCAGAATGAGTACGAAAATGAGGAGCGCCATAGCTGGAAAGATGGGTGATTTGACTTGAAAAGCTTAGAAATCTAACGAAACCTTCCTTGCAGGCTTTATATAGCAGGCTGTATTCATTAATCAAACGCTTCTTTTAGATGACCTTTAGTGGACGCCGTTAATATTAATCAGTATTTGTGCAGCAACAACAAAACTTCATACATTTTCAATGAATAAAAAAAAAAATCTGCCTCTTTTATCAAAGCAAACCAGAGGATGTACCAATCGTGATGATGATTGCGGCTTACTACATGACGCCTATTTACACCTCGTCAAACAAAACGGCAACTAATTTCGGCTTCTGGTTCTTGTTCCAACGATCAGATCACCCCTGATGAAGGCATTAGACGGGAGATTCGAAACGTTGGGTCGATGAATCGTAATTAATTTTTGGTTACATTCATTAAATCTTTAAACCAGAAGAGCATCAAACCATGTCTGATTGTCCACCTGGTTGCTGTGTGAACTTAAATATATCAGATGTAGATTGTTGCCTAGAGTCAAGGGAATAAGATACAAACTAAATTCTGCTGCTTATATTTACTTTTTTTTTTTTAAACTTTGCGACTTTGCTTCAAATTACGGGTAGCGCTTGGACTTAGTGCGGGTTTCGAGATTGCATGGGAAATTGTACATTTCAGAATACTTATACTTTGTCGCTTCATCTCACCAAGCGCGCTTACTTCGTAAAATTTCAGCCAAAAACGACAAGAATATAATATTGAGTCCAAGCTTACTGACATTCTGGAGTGGCTCTCTGATCAAAAACACTTCCTATGTTCTTTTTTTTTACCCTTTCTTTAAACTTAATTTTCAAAAGATATGCAAATCAGTCAAGTTTTCGAGCAGCTCACGTGCAATTGTCTCATACCTTCGTTCTTGTGACCTATTAAAAAGTATATTTTTCCTTCTTTTCCCCTCTTAGTCTTATTTCAGCATTGTAATTAAGGTGAAAGCGATTAAATGAACAAATAAATAAATAGCTTTGTACATGTTTGTGGAAAAGAGGTTAATTGAGTAAATTTTTTCGTTCGTATTTCGTAAAAATGAAGCATTAACCCATGGAAAATAATAGTGAATAACTTACTTGCCTATACCCCTCATTTCTTTATCACTTTTATTATTTTGAATGCAAAGTGCATATTTTCATCTTTTCGGTGGCGTTCAAACGATCACTTGCCTCAGAGAAATGATATTTTTAACAGTGATTCGTTCAAAGAAGCTTCCTGGACTGACTAGCTCATCTACAACATTCAAGTTCCAGACATCGTGGCAGCCACTGTAACCAGTTTATTGTCAAACAATTCCATTCCAATAAACTTGATTTTTCTTAGTATTTAAAGGAGACGATGGTAGAGGAAACGAACAAGTATGCACTGCTAAAAATTGCAGAGAAACTGATAGCCCCATCAATTTTCGCGCAGTGCTCTGCCCTGAGTTTCAGGCTTTTAACGCAGTCAGCGTAATGATGGAAATGGTTTTAGCTCCCCAATTTAGCTTTGTATTGGCCAACCGACGAGTTACTCGGTAACGGAGTTGGTCGGACCAAACACAAACATTTAAAGTAGTACTAATATCGAGATCCTTCGAAACGGCTCTTGACGTAAACTTGTCTCGAGATCCTTCGGAAAGGTTCTCAAAAACACTCTGCTATTGATCTCTATGCCTATACAATGGCTACTAATAGCGGACAAGATTATTCAGCAAAGAGTCACCAGGTCGTATAGAGGGGGGAAAGAGGGGGGATGGGGAGAGGGTGAGGGGGAGAAAGCGAGGTTACCTAAAAGTCTTACCGGGGCGAAGAGCGCAAAAAAGACATTCGAATGACTTACTGAGAAAAAGTTTATTTATTCTCCTTTTATTTTTTACTTCTGGAATGAAATTGGAAAATTTCATCGTTGACACTTTCCTACTTAAGAAAATAAAAAAAAAAAAGAAAAAAGAAAAAGAATTATAAAAAATACAGAGAACTCTAACGATGCAAAGAGCACCTGAAGATGCCAACTCCATAAACTGTTGGAGGGTCCGAGATGTACCCCATAACCTATTTAATGATCCACCCCAAATATCCCACCCCTTAAAAAGTTATCTCTCTTGAGTAATTTTTTGATCACTGGGGATTTAAGGAATCTTAGGAAAACCTAGAAATAGCCAGCAATGATTCACGAATTTGATTAACCCATGCGTGACAAATTATCCGTCACCTAAATAAGCAAACAAAACGCGAATTAGAGGGAACGGCATTCTGGGAAATGTTCTTGAGCGAGGATATGTACTACAACAANCACGCGAGACATTTTCGTAATCACGCGTGGCGCGCGTCTTTCACGATTAGCTAATTTCGTCAAAGAACTCTAACCTTGACGTAGCAAACTGTTGAAAACCAGAGTTAATAGAGGGAACATTTTTTCTAACAATTGCTTTATTCAGCCGAGTGACTAGCAAGACACAGGTCAGGAAAATTAATGATCAAGGGAAAAAAATTCTTCTTCTTTTGTCAGGATATTTAAAAATTCTGTGGCAGTCATGCTAGTACACAGCAATTTTACAGTTTGACTTTTTTTTGGCATGCCAACTTGGCATTGGCAACCTGTTCCCAAGATTTCCTCCTATCTTTCCTTCCTTTGGTATTGCCACTCTGACATGAAATGGATCTCTCTATTCTCTAATAGTGTTACTATTGTAACCAAACTGATGAAGAAGTGAAACCTGTAACAAAATGTTGATGATAAATAATTAATATTAAATTTAATAACATAACCACGAATGACTTGGAATAATTTGAGTAAGGAGATATTTGTCATAGATTATCATTTAAAAAAAAAAATCCAGCTGCCTGTGCACTGATCATGTCAGCCACATTTTATTATTTCTAAACCTGTCAACAAATAAAAAGCATCAATAATAATTTGAAATAGCTTTCTTTTAACATGTCGGACTGAATATAAAGCGATACTTACATATTTCAATATCCTCGGGTTTGAAGTGTTTCTCGCAAGCGTGTACTTTGTCGTTTTTTATCTGCTCCCCGAAATCATGGTCGACTTAGAGTATTGTCTATCTTGTGATTTACGCCAGTTCAGGCCTTATTATGCAGCGGGACGCTTACAATGTACAAATTGTCTCGTCCTATTCACTTTAGATTTCCCTTATGTTGCTGTACTATGTTAGAATCGGATCCTTTATTTACCTTGTTTGTTCAAGTTTAGTTTTACCCAAATTTAGAATCTCATCGTAATGGAATGATTGAAATGTTATATGTCAGTCTCGAATGCATAAGATTAGCTTAGTTTTTGTGCTTGTATTTGTTTCAGGTTAAGATGTGACCTCGAATCTTCGGTGGAATAGATTAATTTGATTCAAGTGTTTCTGTCCGTAAAATATATCCCCGTCTTGGTTCGATCGCTAAAGTAAAATAACAGTCCCGATTGTTAGTACTTGACCGAAGACAAATCCAAAATAGAGGCAAATTATGCTACTAAAACTTGACTTGTAACTTGCCTAACCGAAAACCAACTGAGTAACTGCGTTTTGACGGGGCTATATGAAAGCACGTTTTTAACCGAGACCAATGAACTATTGTAACTTCATATTTGCGGTTAACATGAACGAATCAAGATAAGCCTACGTACAATATCCAGGATGAGGCGTGCTATCCGCTACACTAAGGGTGACCTTATTATGATACAAACCTTGCTGCTTTTTAAATGTGAATAACTTTATTATCATGCTGACTAGATACAGGTCTCTATCACAACAAGGTCATCCATCACCTCCAACCTCACTCCAAATCAAGGGCTTGGAACCTAAAGTGGCCTATGACTTACCTAAGTCGCACATTTGTTTTCCCTGTGGTCCTAATAAACAACTGCAGTTGTGATCGACTGCTATTAAACGAATGAAGAAAATGGTCAATAAATAGTAGAACACTCAAAATTATTTCTAATCTTCAAATAACTTTCTCGTATTATTAATGATAACTCTCGAGTCTTTCATCGCATGAGCGATTGTATGGTATAAAAGCCAGTTTACAATTGAGAATCGAAAGTGATCCTGGACTGCTTTGGTTTTGCTTTATTTCACTCTAGAAAACTTGCAACACCATTCCAACCAATCAAATGCAGAAAATAATCCAATTCCAATTTATAGGAGCGCTTCAAACGGGTTACATGTTTTTACTTTAAGTTCTCATTGGTTCATGATGTCAACCTCTCCTCTGATTGAGAACTGCGGAGGGGCGGTGGCCTCATAATTGTTTTGCTCGACTCTGGATCGAGTGGTCCGGGTTCAAAACCCGGCCGGGACATTGTGTTTTGTTCCTAGGCAAGACACTTTACTCTCACAGTGCCTCTCTTCATCCAGGTGTATAAATGGGTACCGGCAAATTTAATGCTGGGGGTAACCAGGGGGGAGTAGAAATACTCCTAGTCGCTTCATGCTACAGAGACCGGAGTTAAGCACCGGCCCAATGGTACGAAATATTTCGTTTGTAGTCTTAGGATTGAGTTCATTATTTTTGACAGCACAGTTCGTGACAGTTTCTTTCAGTTGCTTTATGGTTTAACTAGTAGCTGCTAATCATCATTCGATTTTAGATTTTTTTGTATGTTAGCAAAATATTTCATGAGGTAAATACAAATTTAGGAGGCTGATCTTTAAAACAAAGGGAGAAAAAACTCGTTCGGCGATCTCCGTTTTCACTGATAGATTGATTGTTACATTACTTGATGGCTTAAACGCAGCTATAGTTAAACTCTGTTAGCAGTTAATAGAGTGCGAGAAAATGAATATATAAAGTACATCATGATTTTAACTTGAAGTAGTGAAACTAATTTAATAAATTAGCGGAGCAGTGCCATACACAGACTTAAATTATATGATGTGCTATGAGGGGTGCTGGAAAACCAAGCCGGCTTTGATGCCAATGATGTAGAGACCTGCTCTTATTCATAATCTATATTTACGAGAAACGTCCTGCGTTAAATAAAGGGAAAATGAATGGGGAAGGGGAAAATCAGAGTTTTGGTTGGGAAATGTTGTCTTCCTTTTAGATAATTTTGGAAGGTAGTTTCATCTGNAATGAACGGCAAAACAGCACGAGGGACCAACATTGGGAAAAGGCTCAAAATTGTTAATTTAACTTACACAATATTAAATGAAAGAGATATTGCAATGAGTGAAAAAGGCAACTATATTCTTGCCATAATCAAAACTACTGAAAGCTATGATAATTTAAAGGCAACCCTTGCAGATCTTAATGATGAAATGCAGAATCTAAAGCAAATATGTGTGGGTGATTATAAATGTGACATTGAATACTTTTTGGGAGGGGACTGGAAGTTCTTAGCTTGTGTGTGTGGTTTGGGTGCAGCAAATCAGGACTATGCCTGTATTTGGTGCAAATGTCCTAGGAATGAAAGGTTTGACTGCAGCAAGAAGTGGTCCCTCACAGACAGGTCCCTTGGTGCAAGATCATGTGAAGAAATAACTGCCAATGCAAAATCTAAAAAGTTCAATTGTAAATCAGTGCCTTTATTTTCTTTTATTCCCATTGATCATGTCATAATTGACACACTTCACTTATTTTTGAGGATTTCTGACAACTTGATTGAGCTTCTCATACAGCAACTTCGCAGGGAAGATGCAATAGATAAAGTGAAAACTTTCCCTAGTGGGTTTACAAGGGAGAAATATAAACATATGGCTGGATATGAAAAGTTTCTGAAGGACATTGGAATTTCCTTTGACTGGAGAGTAAATAAAGACTCTAAAAAATTAGAATATAGAGACCTTACCGGACCAGAAAAGTTGCTTGTTATGCAAAGCATAAATTTCCAATCACTCCTTCCCAACTTTAAGGAAACTAAAGAAATGGAAAAACTATGGGCCAGTTTTATGGAAATTATTGGAGACCTGAAGCTTGAGTTTACAACTGATGATGCTATTACTCAGTTAACAAATAAGATCAACTCATGGTTTGATAAGTTTCTATGTTTGTATCAAGCCAAAGATGTTACCCCTTACATGCATGCACTATATGCTCATGTGCCTGAATTCTTAAGACTCTATGAAAATATATCCTATTTTACACAACAAGGAATGGAAAAATATAATGATATATCATCCAAACATTATTTTAGATCCTCAAATCATAGGGGAATTTCTGCTTTAAAACAGATTCTTTTGAAGAAAAATAGAATACAGCTCCTAGAAGCAGCAGGCATGGAAAGAATAAAGAAAAGTTATAAGTGTGGAAATTGTGAAGGTCTTGGTCACACCATAAAGACATGCTCAGCTAACTGTAAAGAATGCCAGACTGCAGTTTGTTGTGCACATCTTATCAAAGTTGATGGAAGATGGACACAGAGATGTACTTTGTAAATTCCTTTCTAGTGACTGTAACTTTGAGGGCTAGGCTTCCTAGTTGACATGTTAAAAATTTATCTTATAACAGCCTTGATTACAGTAAATATAAATAAATGTAATATCCATGTGTAGTTAAGATATTCAAAAACTCTTTTAGAATTTAGTATGAACAAATATTTTCATTCCCTCAATCTCAATAATTAACTGACAATGATTATAAACTGATAATAAAATATATCAAAACAATAACTGTAGTTGTGTGATTGCATTTAACTCAGTCTTTAATTTAGCAGTCATCCCTTGTTAGGTACTGGTGTCTATTTCCATCTCCACAAACAAAAGTAAAAACAAGTTGACGGTCATCTCCAATTTCTGACCTCACATACTTGCCCCCTATGAGCTTGTATTCTATTATAGGGTTCCTTTCTGTAATCCAAAATCTCACTGCCCCTTCTGTCACAAAAGCATAATCACTATTTTCGTTTAAAATCCGTTCATCCCATTTGACTCCCAAAAAGCTGTCTAGGTCGTGATTACAAATCCGATAGACTTGCTTGTTTCTTTCCCTTTTTGCACGAGCAGCAGTGGCAATACTCACTTCAAAGACCTCCTCCACAGAAATTTCAATCCTGATTTCTGGATCGTCCTTCCTTCCAGAGTATAGCTTTCGCTTCACTTCCCGATACAAGCGGTCTTGGAAGAGATGCAAACGATCGTCTATGGATTCCATGGATGGTTTACATTTATGTTCCAACCGCATAATAGGAAATTTATCACCATCATATGGCCTCCATTCGTCAAACTTATCACTAAATCCGTTACAATGTATTTTTACTCGCTTGCCTTCTTTGTCGACCTCTTTCGACTCGATTTCGTAAAGGCGATTGTCCTTTTGACGCTTTGGTATTCTGCCCTCGTCAGCTACAGCTTTTAACGGGTTTACTTCGTTGATTAATCGCTTCGGCGCTTTGATTTCTCTTTTTACTCTGGCCGCCATGTTTGTTTTTATCGTTTGCGCATAAAACTTTTGGTCATTCGCGCATGCGAAATATGTCCGCGAGAGTCTGGATGCAAGTCAAAGCAAATGTTAACCCTTCTATGAAATGACTTTGATATGCTGCTATATTTGAGTACATCGGAATCGAGTACGCGGTTCGATTAGCTTCAGTACTGGTAGGTGAACCTGGAATCTCTTTTAGTCGCTTTCGCAGCGGTTTTTTTAATTTTTTTTATTATTATTTTATTATGTCACACAATGATCCCCATCAAAGAATCGCCACGTGAAGCGTGAAAAGGAAAACCCATACCCATAGACTTTTCTTTGATTATTACTGATGAAATGGAAATTAGAAAAATTACAGGATAAAGAATAAATAGCTAATTTTAAACCTTCGATTACCAATCTGGAGACTAGTCGAGTTACTTGGAGACGGCGTTTTATCACCTATCGTGGTGAAGATTAAACAGCAATTTAAATGATAAGAAGAGAGTTTCGCCTTACTTTTTTCACAATGGCTTCCTTTGTACGATCTCGTACAACGACACCTGTAGCCATTTTTTGGTAAAGTGGTACATAAGTTCCGTTGTTTTGACATGGCCCACTTGAGCAGGGAGACTGAGAACGAGAGAAAAAAAAAACACTTTCACTCTAATTAGGGCTGCTTATGCGACAAATCCGCGATGATTGCGTTTCACACAAGCTGTGGTTCATTATCAGTCAAGCATTAGGCTCCCAATGTGAGTGGAACTAAAATAATACGAAGGGAGACAGTTATTTCCCATTTAAGACTGACGCCTCCCTCAAAGTGAGGCTTCGTATCTCAGTTGGTAGTAGAGCCCAACTAGGTCGAAAGAGGCAAGAGTTTCCTTTCCGAAGCCAAGTTTGCCTTCTTTCCTACAATTTCTTTAGTCTCAGCTCAGCTGAAAGATCAATAAATTAATTTTATCTTTTAAATTCCCTAAGTTGTCGCGTGTATAGTGGCTTCTTCATACAGAGGCGATTTAACGTCATGAAGTAAGTGAAGGGTCCACTCATCCAAACGCTAAGACAAGAAGGGGGGCCTAAGATCATGAGGATATATTTGCGACCCTGAGGACCACATTCATTGTGGTCACTTTATTCAGTAGCATGTTGGCTTAATAAAAGCCACATATCTTTTTGTTGAATAATTATTATCTTTCTGGGGACTTTCATTTCCTTTTCTGTTAGGCATGATAATTGGAAATTAAACGAGACTTACCTGTAAGTTGAAGTTTGATCGTAATTCTATGATTCATCAGCCAGGGGTGTAGGGAGTGATACGAGAGAGAGAGTAGCGCCATACATTAACCAGGCTTTAGAGGGCCCAATGATTGCCTCCATGATTAACATACCACACCGGGTGGGGATGGAAAGATTGAAATCATGTGTTGAAGGGTTGCAGTGCAACCCTTCAAAAACAGAAATAATTCATTTCCTCTCACGCTTCTCAAAAAATCCTCCTTTCTTTAATATCAATATTGGAGATGATATCATTAATTTATCTAATACTGTCCGAGACCTAGGCGTCATGCTTGATTCTGTGATGAACTTACGCTCGCATATAAATTCCATCTGTAAATCGTCGTCTCTAGCAATCAGAAATATTGGTCGCGTTCGTAAATACCTCTCGACGCAGCAAAATGAAAGATTGATACA